AAGGTTTTTGAGATGATGAGGATGGCACAGGTTAGTGCAGGGTTCATGTTAGCTGTTCATAGGGTCATTATGAGTCATACCTGACTTGACAGCACCTAACAACAACTGGTAGCCTACTGGTAAGAAGCTGCATTGCAATCCCAAAGGCAAACAGTTTGAATCCACCAACTACTCTGCTGAAGGTGATTGGGCAGTCCCCTTCTGTGCCATTCACTGCCTTTGAAAACCAACTGGAAGGTTAGCTATGAGTTGGTCAGTACTCAACGGCACCCAACAACAACAGTAAATAATTTATTGGGGTTTTTTTTAAATAAAGGAGAAATAATTGGGTATTAATAACACGGATGTAATTCTGGTTTTCAAAATGTAGGTGATGGTGATTCTGAAGTACTGGTAGTGATCTGGTAATATCCTTGAACCAAAGGTTTTTAAGATAAGGACATAGTAGTTACTGGGCACCTGCATAGATTCACTAACAAGCTTAATTTGCTTCTTGGACAGGCTCACCAGGCGATTATAACCATGAAATTCAAAAGACATAGTAGCTGACCTTGAGCATGGCACCTTGCAAAAACTAGCTTTCTTAATATCTCACAGAGACAAGATGAATAGAATACAGGTTCTGGAATACAGAGCTGGATCGATAGATATCTCGTTGAACAACTGCACCTAATAGGTGATCGATGTCTAGCTGAAGCTATACTTCTTGTGCTCCTTGACATAACCCAATCCTCTACATTGCAGTACTTTTTTCCCAGATGTTTTTATTGTGGTCCTGATGAACCAAAATTTTCATTGTATGCATATCTAATATACCCAGAGTCAGAATAAGAAGATAAAATCATTTTAACAGGCCCCAGTAGGCAGAAATAAGGAGGACCAGTCTCAGATTTAAAGACTTAAAACATGTACAAATTAAGGATGATGTGATTTTAGGTTTAGCTATTATTAATCATACACATAAAAAATACAGTGTGTGTACTAATAAAAATTAATCTGTTTTCCTCAGCAATAATCTGTTGCTTTTAGATATCACCAAGTCAATTTCAACCTCTGGCAACCCATTGTGTAATAGAAGCACCTCCAAGTCCTGTGGAGTCTCCCCAGTCAGTGCTATACTTGAGCCCATTGTTGCATCACTGTGTCGATCCATCTCATTGGGTCTTCCTCTTTTTTGTTGACCTTCTACTTTACCAAGCATGATGTCCTTCCTCAGAGACTGATTCTTCCTCATAATATGTCTAAAGTACAAGAAAGTAAGTCCCACCACTCACTCACTTCCTAATAGCATTCTAGCTATACTTCTTTCAAGATGGTTGTGATTATTCTTCTACTAGTTGATTCGTTACCCTCCAACACCATAATTCAAATGCATCAGTTTTTCTTCAGTCTTCTTTAATGATTGTTCAGCTTTCAGATATTTATGGCGTGATTGAAAGGAACCATGGTTTGGGTCAACTTACTCACTTTAGTCTTCAAGATGACAGCTTTCCTTTTGAAGAGGTATTATACAGATTTGCCCAATGCAGTGATAATACATAACTTGATTTCTTGGCTGCTGTTTCCATGGGTATGATTGTAGATTCAAATGAAAGAATTCCTTGACAACTTCACTCTTTTATCTGTTTATTATGAGGGTGCTTATTGGCCCAGTTGTGAATATTTTTGTTTTTAAGTTTCATCCATATATAATAATTGTAATAAAATTATATTAGATATGTATTGTGACCTATGAAACAAACTCAAGAAAGAATCTTCTTATGCTTTTGCCTAATTGAGTTTTTCTCTCCTAATTAGTTCTCTCATAATCTTTCATTGAAATATTTTATTCAAATTTCATTGAAATTTTTTTATAAAAATTTCATTGAGATATTTTAGTTAAACATTATATAATTTTAGAGGTTAGAGATTAAATGTGTGTGTATATGGACACACACACACACACACACACACACACAGTGTACCATTGAGTTGGAATCAACTCTGGCTGATCCACAATTAGGTTTTCAGAGGCAATAAATCATGTAAGAGGAGATTCTTCTTTCTGTCACAGAGCAGCTAATGGATTTGAATTGCATGCCTTTGGCTTGGTAGTGCAGCTCCTTACCACCAAGCCATCAGAGCTCTCTGTGTGTAGACCTAATGAACAAGAAAAGGAGCTTGCTAAATCTAGAGATATGTATTACAACTCTAATAAGTTAACCATTCTAAACTGTTTTAATAATTGTTGTTGTTTGGTGCCGTCAAGTCAAGTACAACTCATAGCAACCCTGTGAGAAACAGATCTGAATCCTGTCTTACCTTGTGCCAACCTCACGAGTTCTGACACACTCAAACCAGTTGCTGCAGTCACTGTGTCATTTCACCTGGTTAAGGGACTTTGGTCTTTTTGCCATCTCCCCAAAGTATGCTAGACAAAGGTTTACCTTCCTTTCCTCCCTCCAATGAGCACTCTGACTGCACTTTCTCAAAGACGGATCTGTTCTTTTGCAGTCCATGGGATATTCAGTATTCTTCTCCAATACCACAGAATGCAGAAAATTGAATAGCCATGTTGTTCTTGTACCTTTGTGGCAGAACCAACCTATAGCTGACCCTCCAGTGAGTTTTCAGAGCCAATAAATTGCATAAAAGGAGATTGCCCATCCTTCTCCTACAGAGCAGCTTGTGGATTCAGAGTGTATGCCTTGAGGACTGCAGTACAGGTGCAGGTTCTTACCACGAGGCCACAGAGCTCCTAGGCCACCAGAGCACCAGTAGCCATATAATGTAAAAATAAATTGGCAGTAACTACTTTTGTATGCTACTTAAGGCTTTTAAAAATTTTTTTTATACTGTTTTATTTACAGATTTCTCATTTTCTTCATACACACACCCATCCCCCCCCCCATCAGATTGTAAGGAATCTTGCTATATTATCATGTGAGACATTATGAGGCAGGATAGCAGAATGAGCAAGAATACCAAATCAGTACTCAAATCTACCACCTATTAGTTGTCTGACCTTCAATAACTCATATAAGCCACTATAACTCTCAGATTCTTTGTCTTTAAAATGCACAGAGGCTAGTCCTTGGGGGAAAACGTCATGCTGGGAGAACTGGAGGGTCAGAGAAAGGGAAGAAGACCCTCAGCAAGATGCATTAACAAATGACTTTAATAGTGGGCTCAAGCATATCAGAGATAGTGAAGATGGTGCAAGGTGAGGAAAGGTTATGATCCATTGTTCATAGGGTCACTAGGAGTTGTAGTTACTCTCGGGTACCTAAGAACAGCAATAACAAGAACTATTTCATAAGGTTGTTGTGAGGATGGAAAGACATAGGTGATGGGAAGACATGTGCACCATACTTGATGTTGTTGTTGTTATATGCCATTGAGTTACCTGCGATACACAGTGACCTTATGTTCAAAAGCCCTAAACTCTGCTCTATGGTGTGCCAATCTTACTGTTTCTGACACACTTACCCTCATTACTCCAGTCACTGAATCAATCCATCTCATCCAGGGTCTTCCTCTCCTGTGCTGTCCATCCACCCTCCCAAGCATGACGACCCTCTCCAAAGACAGTTCTCTCTTTGTAACATGTCCAAAGGATGTCAGACAAAGCTTTGCCATCCTGGTTTAACCCTTGCCAGGATGAATCTGTTCACTCTTTTAACAGTCCATGGTATATTCAATACTCTGCTCCAACACCCAGCTCAAAGGCATCCCTATCATCCCTTCTATCATCCCTAGTCATTGTCCAGCTCTCTAATGCGTAGCATCTACAATAGAACACACTCAGACAACTAGATAGGGCAACTGAGGTGGAACCCTCAAGTAGGGAAACACAAAGAAGCAGGAGAAACAATTATAAGCAGACACTAGTGACTGGAACATGGAATGTGAGAACTATGAATGTAGGAAAACTAGTTATTGTTAAGGAAGAAATGGAACACATAAATATTGACATAAGAGGTATTGGCAAGAAGAGATGGACTGGAATGGTGCATTTTGAGTCAGACGATCATATGATCTATGCTGGAGATGAAAAGTTGAGGAAAAAAATGGAGTGGCTTTCATAGTTTAAAACGTCATTTAGAGATCCGTCTTGAAATACAATATTGTGAGTGACAGGATAATATCCATAAGCATACAAGGAAGTCCAGTGAATACCACTGTCATTCAGATATACACACCAACAACCAGAGCCAAAGATGAGCAAATGGAAGATTTCTACTAACTTTTGCAGTCAGAGATAGATCAATCGAACATTGCAACCAAGATACATTAATTAATAATAATGGGTGACTGGAATACAAAAGTTGGGAACAGAGAAGAAGGATCAGTAGTTGGAAAACATGGACTCGGTGAACAGAAATGAAGCTAGAGATAGAATTTTGCATAATCAACTGGACTTGATGAATTTGAAATAATTACAGTAACTTACTGTTGTAAATAAAAGCTGTTCCAGCAATACAGTACACACTGTATTATCTCCTTTATGCCAAGAGGAATTTTTTATTCTCAATCAATACAGCCACTTTGGGAACCAACACAAGAACTCAAGTGTCCTGACTTTAAATCCTGTTTGCAATATTTACATTATGCTAAGAGAATGCTAACTAACATAATTTTGAACTACTGGCCCAAGTATAAAGAATCCAGATGACCATTAAGGAATAAAAAGCAAGCGAGTAACATGGAGAGCCCAGAATAGAAAAACTACAATGCTGTGGCACTAACATTTCTGCACAAGTAGAGAGTCCTGAGTTTTGTATGAGTTGTTAACTAGGAGGAGCAAAGGACTTTATAATATTATAAATACTTTTCTGATTTGCCTTCAAATGTGATTTCTACCTGTGTGTGTATTTTGACATGTGCAAAATGGGTATGTCTCCCTTTTATGAATTGCTAAGGACAAGCATATAAGATTTGAACAAGATTTAACATTTTAACACACATATTTTATAAAAACTTTGATCTTTTAACGAGCCTTTTTATTTCTTTTCTCATAGAATGCTGAAATTTCTGTTTTTGAAGTAAATATACGTTTTGTTGGTGGACTACTCTCTGCCTATTATCTGTCTGGAGAAGAGGTAAGATGAAGGTGGTTTATAAACATGAACTATTAAATATCTTAAAATTATACCTGTGTAAAATATGCTTAGAGGAAGCCCATCAAATGTTTGCCTCTTGATGGGCCCGTAGCTTACAAGGAATTTCTTATAATACACTGATTATTATGCAAGCTATGAAAGTTTACCAGAGCATATTGTCAGGAAATGTTAAGTAATGCCTTTCAAATAGCTTGACTCCATTATATATGAAGTGATTATAGCTACAAACTATATCCTATGGACAAATTAGATTGGTTTATGTAAGTGGCAGGCTTGTGGGTGATTTTTTTTTATTTAAAAATGATTTTATTTTGGTCTTGGTATAATGTTTGTTTAATTAAAAAATATTTTTACAAGAGGTAAAATGCATGACAAAAGATGCAAGAATTATAGTAACTAAGGAAAGGGGGTGAGTGAGAAGGCTTCTCAGGAAACAGAGGAGTATCCCTGTATGAAGTGCTTTTGGAGTCCTTCCAGGGAGAAGACTTAATTAATTATCTGCTACTTGGAGCAAAGCAGAAATTTTTAATTGAACAACACTTTATTGACAGTTTAAGATTTTTGTCTGTGCTTACAAAAAGCCAGGATGCTATTTTCTTGAAAGATTTCAGACAACGTATGAATAACATCTATGTCCAGCAAAGGTGGTTGAGATGCATCACACCTTTAATGTTGAGAATGTTAAAGGCTGGCATCAAGGAGACAGTCTTGTATTTCAGTTTACTGTCACTAAGATTTGCGTTTGCCTGAGCATTCTAGCTGTGGGGGAAGAATGGAGCTAATCTGGTGTAGTATTTCATGTACCTCTGTGCTCCTTCAAACAGATTTAAACAGAACAGTAAATGTTTAATGAGAAAAGCTGCTTGACTTTGTTCTTGTTTCTCAAGTAGTTTCCTAGGCATAACAATAGTGCTTTCATGGTCTCATACCCTTTAACATTTATTTGATCATGGGTCTTTATAAGTCTTCTGTGTCCCCCTGTATCTATCCTATTTAAGTTTTACTTTCTTCTCTACATTCATTGTTATGAACTCTTGTCACCTTCACAGTCAGGTAAATAAGAGTCTCAGGTATATTATGCTGCTTCTTCTAATCCCCACTAATTCTATTTGTTAAATTTTATTTACTGTATTCTAAGATTTAAGCCAAGGGATCCATACTGTTTTTTAAAAATTATACTTAAATTAACTAAGGTTATTTTAGTTAAGTCTCTGCGTTTGGAATACTTGTTTTGATTTGCGTGTGTAATGCTTGGGAGTTCTCATTGGTTTTGACATGGCATACTTGTGATGACCTTGGGTTTAAACTTTCTCCGTAATTTATGTAGAGATCAGACATAAATTTGAAATAAATAAGAATTACATCCTTTTAATGTGAACTCAGATAGGAAAATTGACCATATTCTTTTAAAGAAGTAAAAGTGTATTTCTTCTAAGTGTACACCATATTTCATGAGAAAGCCTTTGCACTCAGAGCAAATTTTTATGTATGTCTATATATATATATGATATAAATTGTTGAATACCATCAAGTCAGAACCTATTTGTAGATAACATGCCAACAGATTTGTCAGTGGCAATAAATTGTACAAGAGGAGATTTCCTATTGCTCTCAGAGCAACTGTGATGGATTTGAAACCCATACCTTTGGATTAAAACAAGCTTGGAAGCAGGAGTGGCATCCACTTCCATAAATAGCTTGCCTCTGGAAACCCTATGAACCTGGAGAGAGGATGAAAGTCATGCAAGTGTTGAGGACTTTCACTTACAGGGTCTCTATGAGTCGTCTATGACTCGTCAGCAATTAACAACATAGGGAGAGACCAGTTGGCCTAATGGGCAGAAAGTGATGCTACCAAGCCAAAGATGGGTGACTCTAATCCATGATCCTCAGGCCTGTTTTTATTTGTGTTTAGACAAACATTCTTCTAGGTTGTATAGCCCTGGTATTTCCATTTGCCGTGCATAGGTAACTTGTGGTTGCTATAAAGCTGAACACTCGTGACACTGGTGTGCCAAATGTGATAATGGTTACCCATGGTGCACAGTGTTTGGTGGAGCTCCCAGATTCAAACAAGCTTAGAAGCAGGAGTGGCATCCACTTCCATAAATAGCTTGTCTCTGGAAACCCTACGAACCTGGAGAAAGGATGAAAGTCACACAAGTGTTGCAGACTTGTTCATAGGGTCGCTGTGTGTCACCTATAGCGCAATGGCACTTTACAACAACAACAAACATTTTTGGATTGTCATTGTAATTCCTTACCATTAAGTTACCAGAGCTCCCTGTATTTTTATATGTATATATTTTGTTGTTGTTGTTGTTTTTGTTATGTGCCATTAAGTCACTTACAACTCATAGCAACCTTAAGTACACTAGTCCTGAAACTGACTCTATCCTATACCAACTTTATTGTCTCTGACACACCTACCTTCATTACCACAGTCACTGAATCAGTCCATCTCATTGGGAGGCCTTTTCTCTTACACTCTCTCCACTCTTCCAAGCATGATGTCCCTCTCTAAGGACTGATCCTTGCATTTACCTAATTCTCATAGATAGTTTTGTTTATTGATAAAATACTTTCTAAGAACTTATATTTTATAATGAACTAACTTTAGTAAACAAAAGAGTACAAAGAACATCTCCATTGCAAGTAACAGATATACCTGTAGTAAATTTAGTATATATCATTATCTCTATGCAAATGTTATTTTTACTATATATCTAGATTTTTTATTTTATCTAATTTTATAAGTTATTTGAGAATTTCTTTTTTAAAAAATATTTTATTGGTTTTCATATAATTCCTTTACAATATGTTTCATTCATATGTTTTATGTAATCTTTCATTTACACTGTGTTTCATACAATTATTCATATGCATTCTATTTTATATTTTTTAATTGGTTTGCTTAAAAAGTCTATATACGTTGTGTTTTACACTATTTTTCATTCATACTGTGTTTCATAAATCATTCTCATATATGATGTTTTAAAAAAATCAATCATCATTGGACCTTGCCCATTATTACCCTGTCTTTTTGCTCAGATCCTTACTATTTGCTTCCCCCTCTCCCTACACCCATTAAACTGTGTAGCCCTGTGGTTTCACCCCTACCAATCCTCATTCCTCTGTTCCCCCCACCTCTTTGAGTTCCTGTACATGCTTTAATAGTTACCCTTTTATTTTTACAATAATGGCCTAATATTTGTCTTTACAAGACTATATTAGTTCACACAGCATAATGCTCTCCAGCCTCTCCCAAGTTACATTAGTATTTTTCAAAATCTTTGTTCCTGAGTGCTGCATAGCATTCCATTTTGTAAGTATACCATAATTCCTCAATCTGTACGGATGTGGTTGGACCTTTGGGCTGTTTCCATGTTCATGTGATTATGAAAAACACTGTTATAAACATTGGTGTACAAATAACTGTTTCTCAGTTATAATTTCCTTGGGATATATTCCTAGTAGTGGGATAGCTGGGTCATATAGAGTTTCTGTGTTCAACTTTTTGAGGAAATACCCATTTTACAATCTCACCAGTAACGTATGAGAGTTCCCACCATTCCTCTTCCTCTCCAACATTTGTTGCTTCCTGTCCTAAATTTTGCCATTGCTGTGAGATGGTATGTCATTGTAGTTTTGATTTGCATCCCTCTTATGAGCATTTCTTCATGAGTCTGTTGGCCATCTGAATGTCTTCCTCTCTGAAAAGTTTTTACATGTCTTTTGCCCATTTTGTAATTGGATTATCAGTCTTTTTCTTCTGGAGGTCCAAGAGTATTTTGTAAACTTTTATTATGAGACCCTTGTCCAAAATATTATTGCCAAATGTTTGTTCCCAGTGTAGGCTTTCTTTTCACACTATCGGAAAAAAAGTTTTTGATGAGCACAGAGATTTAATCTTTAAAAGGTCCCATTCATCAGTTTTATCCTCTCCAGATTGAGCATTTCTGGCTGTATTTGGCAATCTCTTTATACTATAGGCTAAGCATTCTAAGCTTGGTTCCAACCGGGCTTTACTCCTTGAGTTGATTTTTGTGTATAATGTGAGATATGGATCCTGTTTCAGCTTTCTGCAGATAGATGTCCTGTTTTGCCAGCACCATTTGTTGAAGAGGTTCTCATTTGCCCATTTGATAGATTTTATGTCCTTGTTGAATATCAGTTTACCCCAGATAACTGGGTCCATGTCTAGGCTTTTTATTCTGTTCCATTGATCTATGTCCCTGTCATTGTACCAGTCCCATCCTGGTTTGGTTACTACTGCTATGTAGTAGGTTTTGAGGTCAGGGAGTGCTATGCTTCCTACTTCATTTTTGGTTTTTACAAGTGCTTTGCTTATTCTGGGTCATTTTCCTCTCCAAATAAACGTGACAATTTCCCTTTCAGTCTCCTTGAAAAAATAGTATAGTATCTGAATTAGGATTATGTTGACCATGTTGACTTTTGGTAGGTTATAATTTTTACTATACTGAGTCTTCCTATCTATGAACAGGGTACATTTTCTCTGTTTACTTAGTTAGGTCTTTTATTGTGTTTTGTTGGAATATTCTGTAGTTTTCTTTGTACAGATCTTCTGTGCCTCTAGTTAAGTTCACTCATAAGTATCTCAATTTGTGGTTGGCTATTGTAAATGTTATTGCTGTGCTGTTGAGGAATCTCACTGATTTTTTTTTTTTTATATTGATCTTGTATCCTGCAACTTTAGTAAACTGGACCACTAGCTCTAATAGTTTTTTTATTGAGTCCTTGGAGTTATTTGTGTACACCATCATATCATCTGCATATAGTAACAGTTTAACTGTCTCTTTGCCAATTTTGATGCCTTTTATTTACTTCTCTTGTCATATTGCCCTACCAGGTACTTCCAATACAATGTTGAATGGAAGTGGTGATAGTGGGCATCCTTGTTTGGTCCCTGATAACAAGGAAAATGCTTTTAGTCTTTCTCCATTGAGAATAATATTTGC